TAGTATCATTTTTCTTTGAAATCCAAGTCTCAGGTTAATATATGAGGACTCTAATCATGGTGTAAGTTTGTTTTTTATCTTTAATACTTATATAGATTTCATGAGTTGCGAATGGTTATGAGTTCTAGTATTGCTTATGATGGGTCTTTGTTAATTTTGGGTACTACTCTAAAATGTGTAGCGTCTTCTTATGCTTGAAAACAGAGATTTGTATTATTTAGTATTATTTTTTATGGTTTTGACAAAATAAAGATCACTGATGACAGTTACTTAGCAGTAATCGAAACTGCTGTATAGTTGCTCCAAAAGTTCATATAATTATAAATTAATTTTTGTATTTAAAAGCTCCTACACTATCACACTTTTTTATATTACTTTCTACTACATAATCTAAATTTAAATAGTTTATGTATTTGTTTTAAATTAGTTTTAGTTTAAATTAACAAGCAAACAAGCAAATTTAATTTTATGCACAATTTATATTCTAGTTTTAAATAACAATAATTAAATAAAAATAATTGTATTCTCGGAAATCGCAGATTATAACTTGAAAAGTGATTAGCAGCGAGATTTATACTATTCAAACGTCAATATTTTAATTGTTACGAGAAAACTAATTAAATATTTTAAACAGAAACATGTTTTCAATTAAGCACTTAGAATATATACCATATATATATATATATATATGTAATTACATATAAACTAGATAGTTATAATTAAAGTCAGACTTAATTGTAGCGAAACATACTTATTCAAATTAAGTATTAATTATTTTAGAATTTGAATGATTTTATTATAATTTTTTAATTCATGTTAAATGTTTTTCCAGTAACAGAGTTTTTTAAGGGACATTAGTATATCGTTCTTAACAATTAGAAACAAATTTTAGAATTATAATTTCATTTGAATAACAAGTATAAAAAAACCCCTTGAAAATTGATCACTTTCATCATCTGACACGTTTTACATATATGGCGACTTACCTGAAAACCAATCCATTCAAATGTATTATTCATTTTTGTGAAAATGTCTTTAATGACATTTCGAATACATGTTTCGAAGACTAGATGCGACTAGATATGGGAGAGGGTATTTAAGAAATAAATCTGTTGGTAGGAACAAAGTCAAACTTTTATATATTAACTAAGGTATAAAATATTAAATAAAATTCTAGTAAAAAAAATTTAAACAGAGAAACCTCGATATCCGAAAAATGGATCGTATGTATCTCTCACGTCATGTAAGTCTACATTCAGAACACAAAGTATCCGGAACTAATCGTTTAAATAAAAAGTTTACAAAAAACCGTGTTTTGCAAAAGCTTTTTTAGTTCAGTTAAATCGTTGGACAGTAAAGCTAAGTCATTCTTATGTAATAAAATCTCAATTTTATATTATTGTATTAATAAATACACTTAATTCCTTTTAGAAGCGTATCTTTTATAAAGTTTTACAATAAAAAGTGATAAACCACAGCAGATTAATACCACTATTTAAGCAATTTTTTTATATATCTAAAATTTATTTATCAAATAATTCTGATTAACATCGATCATGAGCACTAATCGAAGTGGACGAGTCTATTCTGTTGTTATCTATTATGTTATAAATGTTATTTCAATCATTTCGCAGATAGACTTAAAGACTAATCCTCAATCTGACTACAAAAAATGTTTGGAGGATAGGTTTAAACGTTGAGATAATGTTATACTTTCGATATAGCAATAAAATAAATTTTGACTTGTCAATAATTTTCTTTGACTTTAATTGAATAATTGAAGATAGTGCGTAGACTGAATGTACAATATAGTTTTAGTCCATTAATTACATTACAATTTATTTCTTCATCAATAAAAAAAAAATTTATTTAAATTGATTCTAATATAATTTTTGTTAATTCTATTTCTCGCTGTTAAACGAATATAACACATTTCGGGTATTAAATACCAGGGGAATATGTCTTTATAGAGCGTAGTCTAAGCCGTTAGAGGTTGATTTAGTTTTTATATTTTGTTCATATATCCATAAGTTTACGGACAATTATACTGGTGTGTAATGAGTCTAAATTTTGTCTGTTCAACCAGATGTTCGAGTTTAAATTATTCCAAAGTAGTAGGTAAATGTGTGGGTACTATCAGAGTAGCTTAAATAATAATCGAAGCAACGCTTACCAATAAATAATTGTACATTGTCTGTAGTTCTATTAATAAAGCATATTTTAAAATTTTTCTAGATAAAGTTGATCACAGATTTCCATTAAGCGTTACTACTATATCAATAATTTATATTTCCTTCCCTTTTCTATGAAATGGGATAGTATTAGATTTATTAACTGATATGTGGTGATGGTATATTAGTTTATTTTTATGCAAATAAAGTTTTCCGATCTAGCTTAAAGGACATTTCTGTCCATCACATTGTTTCAGAAGGG